AAAAAAAAAACATATTTAGGTGTAATTTTTTTGGGTCGGGAACCAATTATTTGTTTTTCCATTATTTTTTATGGGGAAAATTCGATCAGAACTCGAGCTTTTTAGGATTCTGATTGATTGATTGATTGATTGGATACAGGTATAAGTATTTGCACACTGAAAAATCATGGATTATAAAGGACCGAAAGCTTCAAGTAACAGCTAAAGAACAGCAGCAGTCAACCAGCAAAACTCCAGAGATTCCAACTGCATTACGATCCTGCTATACTGCAGCACCCAGCTGCAATATGATTCCACATGAACTGTGACCCAGCTGAATTACAATCCCCCATGCAATATGGCCCAGCTGCATTCTCCCTCAGGTAAGCACTTTACCGAGCGTGACACTCTGCACCAGACTCCAGCCCAGATTCAGAGGTACCCTCTCTCTCCTCCTTGTGCTTCTTCTTCTTCCTGCTTTTGTGTCGCTTGTGCTTTTTGTTCTTCTTGTGGGGCATCATGCTGCCCTCCTTGCTGAGAGCCATGTCCACACTGGCTGTGTTCTCTGTGAAGCCAGCTTGTGTTAGCTATAAAATACTATATTTGAATTTGTAGGTAGTGTAACGGTTTAGAAGCAGGATACATGAAAAATTCTTTAGCCTTTGATAAAAATTAGCTGTACATTTTGCTAGACAGGCAATCTAAAAGATGTAAGAATTCCACTTCCAGTTCAAGCTCTGAGAATCACTTTAGTTAACCCAGTAAATTTTAAAGTACCACATATCAGTAAGTCCTTGTTGACGGCCACAAACAAAGTGACTGTTTTCTCTGTGAAGTCAGCTAGTTCTTATCAATATGGATCATGTCAGCTACCAGACTAAATGTCTCATTGCCAGGCCGCTGTATATTCCCCACCAAAAAAAGATTCAGAGAATGAGAGCCTTTCAAATATAATTACCTAGAGGAGTACCTAACAGTCTCATAAATTAGGCATTTCTTGCTCTTAACAATTAATTGAGAAAGAACAACACTGATATCCTTATGAATACAAAGCATTTTTAAAGAAATTGAAGAGGTCATTTGCCTGTGCCCATAACTAAAAATCCAGATAACTCACCTGTCTGTGCATTTTCAGCACATTTTACCACTTCAGCAGAACATGGGTGTTCATATACATCACCGCGATTCTCCATTACCAATGCAACCTCTTTTCCAAAGCCTGTTCTCTCCACAGAATACTGCACACTGCCGTTTGAATGTCCCTCGGTGGTCACTCTGCAACACACAACACAATGTAAACAAAGAGGGTCCTAGCGTGCATGTTCCAGGGATGGACACTGCGGTATGGAAACATTCTGAATGCCACAGAAACAATGCTGAGTAAAAACAAGTGATTTGTCGGCACAACTTTGTGTCTGTTACAACTGGCGGCAAAACCACCAACTTAAGATACCTAAATAATATTTGGGTGAAGTTCATTTAGGGCAAATGTAATCTTTTTTTGTTTAAATTATATTGGAATATATATTGCAAAAATTTCAAATATTACAATGTGAACCATATCTAGTTTCATTTAGCTATTATCAATCCACACAATATTTTTACAAGAAAACTATTATATGGTTATAAGAACATAAGAACTATACAAACGAGAGGAGGCCATTCGGCTCATCGAGCTCACTTGGGGAGAAATTAACTAATAGCTCAGAGTTGTTAAAATCTTATCCAGCTCTGATTTAAAGGAACCCAAGGATTCAGCTTGCACTATGTTATCAGGAAGACTATTCCATACTCTGACTACACGCTAGGGCTGGGCGATAAAACGATTACGATATGTAT